ACTCCGAGAGTCGTCTTCATCTCCCTGTCCCTCTCACTCATTGGGCGCCCCCTACAGGCGCGAGAGAGACAGAGCAACGACTCTCGGAATCAGTCTGCTGTCTCCTCCGACTAATTCGCCGGCCACGTCCCGAAAACAATCCTTATTAAATTCCTTGGCTCGGTCCGAAAGAAGCAAATTTTCTGGCTGAGGGGGAGGACCTGGCCCAGCCATGGTAGAGTCATCATAGCGATCCCTCGTTTGTGGGCTGGGTAGCACGAGCGAAAGGGTCCACGCAACCGGCAACCAGTGATGCCTAGCCCGGATTACTGGCAGACAGGCATCGTGCTCTACATATGCTAGTGACCTGCAAACGTACCACGTGGCATCTACCGACAACGTAACAGAGATCTAACAATATTACAGTCAATATTTTTTTTTTTTTGATTTGGGCTGGCTGTCCATAGCACGACGTTTCTGAAAGGGTTGCCCAAACCCAAACCTCACCTTGCTCCGGACGGTTGACATGACAGACCGATCCGAGGTTGACGCGTCCAAATGATATTGGTTCCCTTTATTGGGCTCTTTAATTTGAAATAAATCAGTTTGCGTCACGCCGCGGTCCGCGGGGGCCGCGGGGGCCGCGCCTTGCAGCGTGTGGGGGCCTGGCCTCTCTGCTGACGGGACGGAAGCTGTGGGCGCCGCGCTGCTTTTCAAGCTAGTAGCGTGCCGACGACCCGCGTCATCGGATTGCTGCAGTTATGTCGTTCACACGAAACGGAAAATGGTTAAACGGGTGTTGAAGGTTGGCCCAGCCCTTAAAATTGACCGGCTGTGGTCAATATGTCAACAAATCTGGAAAATTTGCTTCTTTTTGGCATTCGCTGATCTTTTGTTGTTTGCGGTGCAACGCGAGTGACGTCTGTGTTTAAGCGGACGCCCCTTACTTCGTACTCGTCTCAAAATAACATCGGCGTTGTTTCCGCTTTGCAAGTTAAGCGTCACAAAAATTGTGCCCGTTTGTGATGCTGATGTCGGCAAGGACGCACAAAAGCCGGCCGGCAGCGAGCCAGCCCGAGCGAGCCGCCTCCGCGTGCTCGGCTCTGCTCGGCTCTGCTCGGCTCTGCTCGCCCGCCTCAGTTTCACGGGCATTGGTCATGTCACAGAGAAGTCGATTGACATGGAAATTGCTGCGCAGACCTATGTGAAGTCCTTTTACCTCCTCGAGAGAAAAGGAGAACGGAAACGGAAAGGGAGAGGGGGGTGCAGTGGTGTTTTCGAATCGGTGGCCGGCTCCTCACAAAAAAGGTGTATTTTTATTTATTTGAGGCGCTGGTGTCGTAACTTTATTTCGATTTGGGTGTTTGTTCTGCCATTGGGTGCCTTTTGTCGGATTGCCTTTTGGCAGATCGAGGGCTGGAAAGCATTTGCCGTGCATATCGTTATTCCTGTAGTATATATTATTCATGAGAGAACATCACAGAACAACCAATGAAGTACATTCTCATGCAAAACGGATGAAAATTCGACCAGCAACACGCCTTCATTTTTTCGAGTGGCGGGGCATTACTCTCACCTTTGGCCCTAGCCCTGACTTGGTTTTTCGCCAGCCCCGAAGCCCGCTTGCTCTCCCTGCTCGTCCGATCTCCCCGAAAAAAGGTAATTGGAGGCGGCCCGCAGGAGGAAATTCGCCCCTTGCTTGAGGCAGAGGCTGCGGAATCCACACTTTGAATTTGTTGGCACACCCTGAGAAAAATAATTAAACGGCTTTTGACACTTAAAAATCGACTTTATATCTATTTCATTAGATTTTCATCATAATTGAACAAATTCTGCCCCGATTTTTCCGGCTGTCGATTTCCACTCTGCTTTTCCAGCCTGCATATCGGCCTAACATGCTGAGCGCGCGGGAAGCGGGAAATAGATGCCCCATGAAAAGGTCCCATTGTACCTATCATCGCGGCACGGGCAGAAAGAGGGCGTTCGGCACCCGCGGGCCCACTCACCAACACCTGAGTGTGTGCGCGAGAGCGACAGTGTGTGTGCGTGGCTGCTGAACACGGTTAGATTGATGGGTGTGGAGCGCTGGCCCATGGTGCTAGTGCGTAGGCAGGGTGCGGCGAGGCGGGGCGCGCGGGGTGCCCGCTGAAGGCTCCTTTGACCGATAGGTCTCGCAACCCGTCGCATCACCGCGCGGCTGCGCCAGGCTGCGCGCGGCCAACGAGAGCGAGAGAGAGGCCCGCTTTATTGATTGGGCCACCTGCGGATGGGATAAGGCACGCTGTCCCGCTGTCGCTGACACAGGCATCGGCCGAGCCGCCCTGGACTAAGGTCCCTGGGCCTGGATCTATATAGCTCCAGAGGATCTGGCCGGGAAGTTGCTCCAAGTCGCTCCAAATCGTCGAAACGTCGCCGGACCGGGAGGGCCGGCCCAATAACGTGGGGCCTGCCATCGCCCCTGTGGTGCCCCCGCAAACCCCGCACGTCGCCAAGTGGTTTGCAGCAAAAAGACGGACGCTCTGTCGTCTGTCCACCTGTCTGTCCGTCCGCAAGCGCGCGTGCGACGCAGGTGTGTATTCAATTATTCTGGCGTGCACCTGCCCGCCGTCCGAGTGACTGAGGCCCAAGACGTGGCCAATCGGGTGGACGCCTGTGGGGGGCCCTCGGTGGGGCCTCGGTGGGGCCTCGGCCGCGTCGGCCTCCCCAGGGCCGAGATCGGCGCAGAGGTCATAATTGTCTCTCGGGGTCCCTGCTTCGCCGCTTCACCGCTCACACGTCAAGCTGGCCCCCTAGAACCCCAATCCCGGCGCCGCCAAGTTATGGCCTTCCCCGAATAAGGCGACGTTAATGTTGTGATATACGTCGCGTTTTGGTACCGGGAAACTCGGCCCGTCTCTCGCAGGGGATGAGGGGTGCTTGGCCAGAGGCAGCCAGAGGCAGCCAGAGGCAGCCAGAGGCTAGGCGTGCGACGGTTACGCGCTGCGGCGCTGCACCCGGAGTGCATCATTAACTAATGCAGCTCGCGTCTCGTCAGGCAGAGTCATTAATGCTATGCAATTGCCCGCCAGGCACTGTGCCCGGGCCGTCAGCGCGAAAAACAGGTCTGTCTAGGGACAGGCTCCCCGCTTCCGATGCACAATTTGCAGAGCCGCCTTTTGCGAAGGGGTGCATGGTGGATCCCACGGTGCTGAAAATTAATTTCGCCGCTCATGGAGGCCAAAATTTGCCTAAGGACGACCGAGCCCTCAGGCAGAACGGAAAACTTGCGCTGATGGAAATCAAAGTGAACGCACGAACGGCGTGGTGTCTAGGTGGGGTTAGTTCAACGTGTGTGCGTGTGTGAATGCGTGTGTGTGTGCTGGTACGGCCACGCCGAGCGCACCCGCCGGTACCTTGGGGGTCATTCCCCCGCCAGGCGACGTAACCCACACACGAGGCGGCGTCCCTCAGGCCAACCGGGTGCGCTCCCGCAGGTATTGGCCAAATTCTCATACGGTGTCGGCGCGCCGGATAGAGTAACCCAGGACACTGCAGCGCCACGCCAAGCGTGACCACAGCAGGATGAGGCCCTGGTCCCATCCCCTGGAGCGTGGCGGAGCGTGGCGCAAGCTGCACCACGCCCACATCTTCGCCCACACCTGCACCGTCATGCAGGTAGTTTGATTCTAGTTTTTTTTTGTCCCCCGCCCTCGCCACACAGAGCAAGGTTTCGGCAAAGCAAATCAGACGCAATGTGTGGACCGCCGAAAAAAGACGCAACACTAATAATTGTGCAATGAAGACACTCCGTTAGGTGCCCAAGAGGGGTTATGGGGACTCAAAATGGCGGCAGGTGACTGTGAGGTGACTATACTACTCACCGGCAGAAAAAATAAGTGAGGGAGAAAGACCGCAGAACTGGACGATTGCATCTTGCTGTATCGCAGAGGCTTCTTCCACAACAAAAGGAGAATCGCCACCACGCACTCCGTGCTCACTCCGATTATAATAAAAATAATAGTTGTAATAATAGCAACAAGTGTCTAGGAGCGTCGGCGCGTGAGCGCGATGCGACTATGAGACCCGTGTGCCCGTGTGTGTTTCCCACCACGCACACCCACACATACGAATTCAAACTCACACACTTGCACACGCGTGCACACACACACGCGGCCGGTTCTACACACTTTCTCAGGAAGGCGCTCCGCGCGGCTCCGCGGGGCCGCAGACACTTCCCCGCTCCGGAACTGTCCGAGCGTCTTCCATTTTTAATGAAGAACTTTATGCTGCATTAATTGCCACGGCTGTGGGAAAAAGACGAACATTGCACTCTCCCCCCTCCCCAGTCCCTTTCCCCCACCCAACCGTTTGTCTTGGCGTTGCGGTGGTGATCGGGACCCACGCACAAGCAGAGGGGACCTACACTAGCTTTACTTTGACTACCTCCTTTCACGCATCCGACGAAGTCTTTTCAGCGCCGATTATAAGAAATCGGGCCTCGACGAACAACGACTCGATTTCTCATAGCTGTTGGCAGTGTGGCGGGTGGGTACCATTTCCGGGCGGACCCCGCCGCGGCTGCGGTTGGCGTTTTCGTAAACAAGCCGTCGGGTGGAGTATCGTTGCCCGTAAAGTATCTCCACGATACGGTCCGCTAGTGGTCCGCGCTCGGGTCCGCGGGCTGCGGGGCTGGACCGGCTGGACCCACTGCGTCCAGAATGGTCCAGCAGTCCGGCCGGACGGCGACCGCGACTTCCACAATAATAAACTCGCAGTGCCCCTCTCGGATGTGTTTCCAGCTGCCGGAGGGGCCGGAACGCGCGGCCGTTCGCCGAATCTCGGGCCACTTCCTCGTGTGTGTGCTCGTCGACGGGTGTCCGCGGCAGGCGCCGACGAGCCATTTTGACCCAGATAGCGTTTATTTTGATTTCAATTTGTGTCTGGATCGAGCACGCGAGGGGCTGACGCGCTGAAGCGCTGAAGAACTGAACTGCCAAACAGCGGCTGGAGTGAGGTTAGGTCACTCCGACCTTGAAACTCACGGCCCGCCACCGGCAGGCATCCACGCAATACCCCAGCCATTGTTGGCCCCTTTTCAGAGCCCCACATACCTTCCGAAGTTACTCGCGCGCTGGCTGGAAAACAAGGCTGCCGTTTCGCGATATATAAATTGAAACTTTTGTCCGCTCCCCGCTGAGCGCGCCCTGCAGGGACGATATTAATGGTGCTATTTAAATTACAAACCCCTGGCTGGGGATATAATGGGGCGGCCGGTGTTGGTTTTAGCCGCTCCGTTTGTCCTCGCCCTTGATTTTGAAGGGCTTTGGAGGGCGCGCGAGGGTCCGGGGAATCTGCCCCGCGGATGACCGACGGGCCGACGGACGGGGATGAACGAACGCCCGAAAGGCCGAAAGGGAGACGCCCTACCCTGCCACCTGCCCTTCGATACGCCGCAATAGGTCTTTGCTGAAGCGGCAAAGCTGGCAAAGCCGCGGCACAGCAGCAAAGCTTTGCTAGCAGCCCCTGGAAGAACAAACAGCCATTCATTCGGACACGGCACCGTCAGGACCGGCACGCCGATGAGCGATGACACCGCGCCACCGTCTGCGTCGCCGTCCTGCCGCAACCAGCATGGCCGACCAGCTTGTCGTATGAGAGCAGGCAGCTTTCGTGGGCAGAAGAGTTGCTCTTTGGCAGTGGAAATGCTCTTGGACAGAGGAAATGCTCTTGGTCAGATGAAATGCTTTTGAGCAGAAGTGACACTCTTGGGCAGAGGAAAGAAGAAGAGATGCTCTTGGGCAGAGGAAATGTTCTTGGACAGAGGTGATGCTCTTAAGCAGAAGATATGCTCTTAAGCAGAAGAAATGCTCTTAAGCAGAAGATATGCTCTTAAGCAGAAGATATGCTCTTAAGCAGAAGAAATGCTCTTAAGCAGAAGAAATGTTATCAAGCAGAGGTAATGTTCTTAAGCAGAGTAAATGTTCTTAAGGAGAGGAAATGCTCTTGGACAGTGGTAATGCTCTTAAGCAGAAGAAATGCTCTGAGCTACCTGCAACTGTTTGCCAACCCCTGCCGAGCAGCAAGGGGCCCTCGTTAGTGGTGGCCGCGAGCTTTATGCTTCTTTTCTTTTGAGCAGTGTCCGCTGCGAACGGGCAGGTGGTTATGCGCCGCGCTTTCCAGGAAACAAAAGATTTTCCCGCTCTTCTGCTGTCTTCTGCTTCCGCCCGTGAAAGGCCCACGGCGCGGTGGTTCGTCGTGGTGGAACCGAGCGGGGCTCGAACCTCGAAACACGGCGCCCGGCCGGCGCCCGCCTCACCTCCCCCGATGCAGTGCGCAGCCCGCGGCGCGCAGCCAACATCGCGGCCCGACTTGTGGTCACCCCCTTCCCCCTCCCCCACCGCTCGGCACCGCTCGGCCCCTCCTGGCGCGGGCTGCGCGGGCTGCGGGAGGCAGGACGCAGGAGGGAGGGAGAGGAGGGAGGAGCCGAGCCTTTGCCTTCAGTTTACAGCGAGCCCTGGCCGCGCGCGGAGCTGCCTCGTCGTGGTAGGCGCCGTCTCGCCACTCCCGCCCCGCGCGTCTCGTCTCGTCTCGCGTGTGTCGTCTAGTGCGCGCGCTTCCCGCGGGCTTCCCGCCACCTCGTCGCCCTGGATTACTGTTTTTGCCGTCCGCACGTGCGTTTGTGCGAGGCGCGACCGCGCGGAGTGTGGTAGCAACCAACTGAGTGTTTGCGTGTGTGGTGTTGTGCGCCAGTCACATTCATTCTGGTGGTTACTTACGTGATTGTCAAGAAGGATGACGGTTGTGCAGTCCCAGTGATTTTTGTTTTTGTTTTTCGTTTCTGTGGAGTGGAAGGAGTTTGTGGTGTGTGAGTGCTTGGATTACGGAATTACTGCGGCCCGCCCCGCATGCCGCTAACCCCGCCGCCTGCTGCCGGCGCGCTGCCCGGACGGCGCGGCTAGCGCGGCTAGCCCGAGGGCCGGCCTGCGGGCGCCTGCAGGCCTACAGGGGCGCAAAGGAAGCAGTCATGGTGCCGCGCATCCTGCTCGCCCTGCTGCCGCTGCTGCTGCACAATGGTAAGCCCGATTCCTGTATTACCCCGCCGTCCGTGCGCATTCAAAATCAGAACGCATTCACGCATTTTGAAGCGGGCGCCGATGAGCGCCTTAAAAACGCGACCCTTTCCCGGACCGGCGTGGCGGTCCCCGATGGCTGCGGCGGATCCGGCAGAGCCAGCACAGCCTGGCTCAAATCAATTAAAAATGTTTGCATGGCGAGCAGGCCGAGTCGCTCCTAATTAGCGAGTGGCTCTCCTTTTTTGCAGTCCAGGTTTTTGGGAGGAGTGAGGCTGTCGGACCGGTCGCGCGGCTCAAGGCCGTCACTCGGACTTATTGAATCCGCGAGGACAGCGACTTATCATCGGCACACGTTGGTTCTACCGCCCCGCCCCGCCCTGCACGGCAGCCGCAGTCGCCTCTTGTTTGTGGGTCCGCACCTGTGTGTGCCTTGTGACACCGCCGCCACAGCGCTCCCGTCCGTCTCCCTCGCTCCCCGCGGCACCGTGCCCCGTCCCGGGGGGGCCAGAGAGACAGGGAGAGACAGTGGCGGGGCGTGTTCGGGACCCTCAGAAAATATCATCGTCGCCATGCTAAATGGCGCGGGGCCTAGCGTGACCCGGCCTTTCTCTTTGATATGACGGCCGGGAAAAATGACGAAAAGGACACATTTATAATGGCCCCCGGGAGCTGAGCGCTAGGCGGCGCGCGGCAGCGCGGCAGCAGCCCCCCCAGCGAGCGCTACCGACGCGCCACGCAGCGCGACGTCGTTTTGTATCACCGCGTTGGCCTCGAAGGGAGGGAACTGAGATTGTGACTGACAGGGTGGAAGTGGCTGCGCGACGGCCCCCACCCCCACCCCCGCCGCGGGGTACTGCACAACCGCAGCAGTTTGTTTATCCGACAAGACAGGGACGGTCAGCCAGTCAGCCGACGCCGCGGCGCGGCGCGTGTGTGTCGACTTCCCTGAGGACGCCGTCGAGCCCGCTATCACTACTGGCATCCGCGTCTCCGGTTCGCGCTGTGTGTGTGTGTGTGGGGGGGGGGCGTCCTCTGTCGGCAGACGCGCTGGACGTCGGGGTGTGACGGACTGGGTGTCGCCAGGAAGTCGCTGCCCCGCTTCCATTTCCATGGGTCCAGATAAATCTGCCGCTGCTGGCTGATTCCGCACATCGCCGCCGTCGCTCTGTCTCTCTCGCACTCACGGCGCGTCCCGTGTGGGCCCGTGAGAGAGGGCGAGCAACTCTGTTCGGAATCAGAGTGCTGTCATAACGGTATCTACGACTGAATCTATGAGTGGCGAATGTTTTTGCTGCTCGGTGGTCGGGGGTCGGGTTGGCCGGGGAGGTCCATGTTGTTGTTGTTGGCGTTGTCCGCTTCTGTGTACTTCTGCGTCCCCGCATGGCTTTATGACGTGTATTATCATGGCGCGACGCAGCGCTGAGTGTAAGGCCGTAAGGGCATGCCAGTTTCGGGTTTCAAGGCGCGGACGCGGCGGACGCGGACGCAAGGGCAGACCGGGGGCAGACTAGGGCCCGGCATGTCGAGGCCGCGAGAGGATACACATCTCGGCCTCATGTTTCACCGTCGCCGTCCTCAGAGTGGGCAGTGGGGTAACAATGGCGGCCGCCGGACTGGCCTGGCGGGGTGGACGTCGTCAGTTCGTCGACGGCGTCCTCCTCGAAGGCATAACCTCGACGCCGGCGGCCGGGGCGCCGGGGCGCGACTTCCCGCCGAGGTCACCGGGGCAAGGGGTCGCGCCGGCGGCGGCGCCGGGCGCGCGCTCCGAGAAGCCGAGAGGTGAACTCAGTTTGTGGTGGTGAAACTTGGCGCCGAGCGGCCGACTTGGCTGGAGCGGTTTGCAACTTTGAGAAAACGGGCGCGATTTGTGATAGAGAGGCGGTCGGCGCGCCGCGGGTGGTCAGCGGGGGTGGCTGCGCCGGGCTACGCCGGGCTGTGCTTCCGGTGGGATGGCAGCAGTGCACAGCGTGCGGCAGCTGGCCGCGAACAGCGTCTTTGCTTACACTTGCCAAGTCGTGGGCGGGCGTGCGGTGTTGGCCGACCGGGCGGCCGGGCCTGGCCGGGCCTTGCACCCAGCTGTGCAGGCTGGCCGCCTACACCGCACTACCCCGCCATGCTGCGCCCGGCTAATGGTGAATTCTCCAGGATGTTTACTCTGCGGATGGCTGAACCCCTCAACTCGCCTTGGGCGCCTCGGTGCCTCGCAGTGTCGGCTCGTCAATTTTTAACGGCACGTGGAATTGTGCGGCGCGCTCCTTGCCGCGTCTGCCACCATCGATTGGCGGGTCGCGGCCTCCGCGGCGGCGTCGACGGCGTCCTCGGCGGCTGGCCGTCGACCGCCACCGCCGGCCGGCCGTCCTCGACCGCCAGCTGGCCGCTAACTTGGGCCCGGCGAGAATTAGTCAACTTTGGCGCTGCCAACAACTCACTGCTAACTAACCCTCTCTTGTTCCCGAACGCGAATCTCAAAGTGCGTGTCGCGAGCCGCCGGCCGAGGGCGAACCGCGCCGACCGCGCCGACCACGGTCACCGGGTCAATAAATTAATTCGGAAAGCCGAGGTAGCTTCGCGCAGCTTCGGCAGTCCCTTTCCCTCCCTGACGATTAAGATGACGGTGATGGCGGTGCCATCGAGCGTGACGTTATCTTAAGTCCCTTCTGACTCAGCAAGTTGCCATGCAGTAAGAAGGAGCCGAGCCGAGCCGGGCCGGGCCGAGCCGAGCCGAGACGGAGGCCCATCTGTTGTATCATCTGCCCCTTTGTGGCGGCCAGGGATCCCTTGTTGAGACAAGCGACTGTTTAGAGAGGAGGATGGGAGTGGAGTTGGCTGTGCCGGGGCCTCGGCCGGGGCGGAGGGCGAGAGTGAGGAAGACAGCGGACGGCTGAGTGGCCGAAAATGATGGACAGGGAGACAGACTGGCGAGGCGATGGACAGCGGAGGCGTGCAGTGGTCGACCGCGACGCTGGATTGAAGTAGCGACAGACGGACGGGCAGACACACGGACATGTGACGCGTGGCCGGCGGTGTGTCGAGCTACTTGGTCTGCAGGCCGCGGTGCGCGGGTCGGCCGCGCCGTGCCACGCCGTGCCACGCCCCCGGCCGTGTCCAGGACGTCAATGCGTTCGAATAGGGCCCTTGTGTCGCGCCCACCCCCGAAGCGGGGGGTCTTGGGCTTCGTGCCCCGCGTGCTCCGTGTGCGAGGAATTCTTGATGGCATGTAGCCCCGCTACAGCCGCTACAGGCAACAGGCGGCCGTTTGAGCCAAGTTGCTGCTCATAATCGGACGCGTGTAGCGCCGCCGAGCGCCGCAGCGCCGCGCTGCTGCTAACTACGGGGCGTAACGCGCGATAGCGCTTTAGTTGGCACAGCTGCCGCCAGCGCTAGTGCAGTGCGCTCTCGTCGCCCTGTCCCTCTCGCACCGCCTGCGCCTTGCGGTCCGCCCCGCGAGAGCGAGAGAGACAGAGCGGTTCGGAAGCAGACTGCTGCTCCGCCGGCTCCGCCCCCCGTGCCAGTGTGCCCCCCATGCGCTGTGCGACGCTGCGCGCCTGTCGTCTGTCGACGGTGGGTGATTACGGGCTGCTGTCCTGGCGCCTGCCGCCCGGCAGACTCACTCCGGAGAGTCTTTCTCGCGCTCGTGGGGCGCCCCGTAGGGGTGCGAAAGAGACGGAGAGGGATCGCTCGCCCGGCCCGGCCCCTGGTCCCCGGGACTCTGGCCCCGCGTCACAAGAACGTGGAGCTCGTGAAGCTCGCGAAGCACGTGGAGCAGACGGGACGTGCGCCGCGGCGTGACCTGGCTGCTGCCGGGGGTGGGGCGGGGGCAGGCCAGCCAGTGTGGGGCCCTGCGGGGGCAGTGTGCCGTCATATCGCACGCGACTGATGCCGCTCCCGGTCTCTCGGTGCCATGTAGGGACCGCTCTGCCGTAAGCGGCGTCGCCTGGGGACGGCCGGGGCGGGGCGGGGCGGGGCGGGGCGGGGCGGGGCGTTCCGATCGGCACGCAGAGCATGGCGTGTCGCAGCGAGCAGACGCGACGAGTATTGATAAGGGACAGAGACGCGCGCTTTTTTCAGTCTTTCGTTTTTCTTTCTTTGTGGCGAATTGGGGCGCGGGGTGGGGCGGGCGGATGGGTCGTCGCACGGCTGGGGCTGGGACGCGGGGACCGGCATGGCACGGACGCCAACATCAGCGATGCGCGGCGCGTGCGGCGCGCCTTACGTGTCCCGTGGCGTTGAATGTATGTTGGTACACCTGTACGCGCCCCGCCCCGCCACGCCGTACGGTGTGATATGAAATTCATCCCCCCGATATTATCTGGGGGTTGGTTGGTTGTCACGCTCTGAGAGCACCCTAACGAAGGCGAGGCTCGGCCTTGCCGCCACGGCGCTGCCCTCGTGGGGTGGCTGGCGGGGTGGCTGGGGCGGGGCGGGGCGGGGAACGCCCGAGGCGACTCGGGGGCCGTCAGTCATCCCGGAGGACGCGTAATCGCCGGTACACTGCCGCCCGTCCTCGGGGTGTTTGGCCTCGACGCCCCAGGCTGAACTCCGGCTTCCCTCTCCGTCGCACTCGTGGGGCGCTCCGCGGCGGCGGGGGAGAGACAGACCGCTGATGCACTGCTCGAAATCGTCGCGTACGCTGCACCGCCGCGCTCACGGACGGTCCCCGTCGCAGCCGCCGCCGTTTTCGCAGCTGAGGAACTTATCTTGTCTCCATTCTATCTTCCGTACCCTATTAATCTCCCCGTCCCTATCCCCGCTCTATCCCCTTCCTATCCGCCCCTCTGTCTATCCTCTTTCCTCGCCGTCTTTCTTGCGGCGGCCAAAGCCGGTCGCTGATCGCGCGGTTTCCTCGCGAGTTGGCCGCCGAGGCCGCGCAGCGTCGCGCCGTCGCAGCGCCGCATAGCCCCGCAGCGCATGGGGTTGTAAAATGTCTTTTTCGGCGGAGGGGCGAGGCTGGGCGGGGCGAGCGGGGACCTTTCCAGTGTGGGCAGAGCCGCTTAGCAAAG